TATATTAAGTCCGATGGAAATAAGTGTATTAGAAAAGGGACTAAACTTCAATGTAGCGGTGGACAAGCTAAAACCTGAGGATGTCATCCCTAAAATAGAAATAGCACTAAGTGGGATAGACAAAACAACAGCTGAAGAAGTACGTGCACAATGTGCACTTACATTAAAACGACAAAAATGTGGAAAACCTAACCTGACAAAACAAGAGACAAAAGCCCTAAAACACCTCAAGAATAACAAGGATATAGTAATCACAAAGTCAGACAAAGGGAACGCAACAGTAGTATTAGACAAATCGGACTATTTGGACAAGGTAAATACTCACATACAAACAGGACCATATGAGGAAATTAATAAATCAATAGACACAGTTATGAATAAAGTTAAGAAATCCACAGCGGACCTTATACGCCGAATGAAGCCGTTTCTAGGTGAGTCTAAGTGGTTTAATTTAATGCCAAAAACTAATAACCCCAGTAGGATGTATGGTGTTGTTAAAATTCATAAATCAGGATACCCTATTAGGCCTATAGTTGATTTTAGAAATTCACCTACCTATGAATTATCTAAATATTTAGCCATGGTATTAAATCCCCTAAAAATCCACTCGAAATCTAGACTAACTAATTCTTATGAACTAAAACACAGATTAGATAATTTAAAATTAGATAATGAAGAAAAAATGGTTAGTTTTGACATTGTCAGTTTATATACACGTATACCAATAAATATGGCTATAGAGGCGGTCAGAAACGAACTCATTTCTGACCAAGAACTCGAACTTAGGACAAAAGTGCCAATTGAGGACATAATGCTGGGAGTACAGCTTTGCCTGACTTCTACAGTATTTAAATTCCAAGGGAAAATATACAAACAAACTGAGGGAGTTGCCATGGGATCACCAATATCCCCGGTGGTAGCAGATATATTCATGGATAGGTGGGAAAAGATAGCGATTGAAACGTTCACCCCCACCCCAAAAGTATGGTGGAGGTATGTAGATGACACATTCACTGTACTTAGAACACAAGATATAGATAGATTTTTCGAGCACATCAACTCGAAGGTAGAGGCAATTCAATTCACTTATGAATTGGAAAGTCAGGAAGGGGAACTTCCAATGTTAGATTGCAACGTTAAAAGGAAAGAAGATGGGAAGCTAAACACTAGTGTTTACAGAAAACCCACACATTCAAACAGATATTTGGATTTCCGATCATCCCATCCTATGTCAGTAAAAATAGGATTAGTGAAATGTTTAAATGACAGAGCACAAAAACTAAGTAGTACCAAGGAAAATCTAAGACAGGAAGTGACACACATAAAAGAAGCCTTGAAACTTAATAATTACCCGGATAAATTAGTCAAGAAATATGTAAGTAAATGTAAAAATAAAATAAATAATGATAACAGAGATAGTGATAATAATAATAATGATAACAATAATAATAATAACAATAATAATAATGGTAATAATAATAGTAATAATAATAATAATAATATTAATAACGACACCAACAATAAGGAATGTAAATCATCAACAATAATTCCATACAAAGAAGGAACCTCGGAAGCCTTACGCAGAATTCTTAACAAGGCAGGAATAAAAGTGGCATTCAAACCCACAAACTCAATTAGAAACAAGCTTTGTCGGTTAAAGGATCCTGTAGAGCCATTAAAACAAAACAATTTAGTTTATCTAATACCCTGCAATGATTGTGAGGTCAAATACATAGGTCAAACTAGTAGAACAGGGGCAGTCAGACTAGCCGAACATAAAAACCTAGCTAAATCTAGATTGGTTGACCCGAATAAGATAAGAAATCTAGAGAGTAGTTCAGCTATAGCACTACATGCAGTTACACACAACCATACAATAGGATGGGATAGGATGACAGTTTTAAAATCTAATGTCACAGGGTATAGGGAGAGATTGATAACAGAAGCTTTGTTTATCGAATCAACTGCAAATACATGTAATAGGAATGATTCAACACCTGTCCCAGATATATGGAAAATTCTACTGCCCATACAACAAATAGGAGAAGACAGAGAAAACTATAAAAATCAAATCTCGAAGTCGTGTGACAAAAATTGATATGATTATGAACAATAAATTGTGTTCGAAACGTCATCCAGTATACAATACTGTTTCACTGTGTGATACATTTAATAATCAAACTAATATGGAATTACTTAATACCACAGTGCCCAAGTTTTACACATATATTAACTGGAAATGACTGTTGAAATATTCATCTCGCAGACAAAAAACACAGTTTGATAAATACAGTTCATAATTAACTTACACTGATTACCATCATTATCATTAGACTGTCCTACTTAGGACAAAAAAAGAAAATAGATTCAAGTTTGAAATTTCAAATCCATCATCATAAACATCAGTATCCCTAACGACTTGAAGGTCATTCAAGTTCTTCTAATTATCATGATTATCATTATTAGCGTAATTAAGCATATTCAGACATTTGCACAGATTAACGTTCTGTGTGTGTTAGTCATATGGTTCTACACATTTGTAAGGCATATCAAAAGTTTAAGTTTAATAACAATAGAAATTACCTAATTATCTTGTTTAGTGAAGCAAATATCCTGTTCGCTGGCTATTTTAAAAAAAAGAAAGAATTAAACCGATAAGTACATGAGTCAGTTAGTAGATTACTTTGATGGCAGAAGTCATTAAATTGTTAAAGACCAGAAACATAAATAAATAGGCGAGCTGATAGTGATTAGACATAGATAGATAAGATATATATATATATATATATCATCTGTGTAAAATAGATTCAAATGACTTTCTCAGGAATTTATAACAAGGAGGCATGGGTGTATATTGTGCAGGTGTTCCTAATTGACAAAGAAATCTGTTTATGGCTTTTTTTGAAGTGACTTCAAATCGAAAACGATAAGTAGCAATCAGATGTTTGGAGTCAACTTTTTTACAGCTGATGGTACTGAACACCCAGCTGTTTCGTCCTAGTTTTGGACTCTTCATCAGTACTCACCCACTGAGGTTCGAACCCAGGACCTTTCGGTTACAAGATGAGCTATTAGAGCTATCGAATAGCCATCCCATGAATACCAACCTCTGCCAGTTCACGACATGTTTAGACCACTAGTAAACGTCATCGCTGGTGAGTAAATGTCCTCACACTCACCCAGGTGGGCTCCATCAGTCACCACTCGCCGGTGACATTGGACATTGGCCAGACCATATCGTGAATTGGCAGAAGTTGGAATTCATGGGCTGGCTATTGGATCAGATCCCTGTGGTTTAATGGTCCATGAGCTCGCATTATAACTGGAAGGTCCTGGGCTCGAATCTTGGCGGTTAGTGCGTACTCTGAAGAGCCCCAAATTGGAACGGAACAGCCGGGTATTCATTACTCCCAGGTCTTCTAATCTTGATGCCAGTCAAATCCCTGAAGACCAACACTTTAATATAGATATTTTGAGTTCTGGTATTTATGAAAAAGTCCTGACCTCAGCACAACTTCGTCGGTAGTAGAATGTTCGTCAGCCGCGTTTGATTTGGGTTCGTTTCCAGACTGATTCACTTCTAAACCTCACACAGCCTACTCATAGTCTGTAAGTCTCGACAAGAGGAAACGCTGGGAGGAAGACTGTAAAAGCGACACCAGCTGAAAAGAAACTATTAGGTTTGAAGCGGTAAATTCTATTCGGGACTGAAGGAATCAAAAACACCTCAGTATAAGGGAAAGTTATATTCTGTCTGAAATTGTCACCAAGTAGTCGGGTCAAAGAATTTACACTTATCTACTCAGGTCACATGAGTATACGTTCTCAAGACTGACGAGTACTAAAGAGCATGCCACGTAGGTTAGTCAGAAATTCACCGAAATTGGGCCCTAATATCTAACATAGGAGCTGAAATTACTTTTTGTTGTGAATGTGTTGTCTTACCTTAGCAACTGGTTGTCTCTAGAGGTCGTTACGAGATATAGTAATATCATTCATAATAAATTTCAAAATACGCAATTCACATCGAATTAAAAGTTGAAGATGTTGTCTAGAAGGACAGCGAAAGCTTTACTACTAAAATGTCCAGCTCACAGATACACAACCACATCAGAAAAACCCATCTGACCCACAAACCTTCATTACTCTTTCACAATCAAAATCTCAACGCAGTATCTCGTTGCTGAACTTTATTAATTGTAGAGCATACTACGGATTAAATTGAGTATTTAGACTTCAAACAACAACATCAAATATGAGACCGAAGCAGTTACGATGTGAGGATTTAAAGAGATAATTAGAGTATTTTGACTGGACACTAGTAACTGGAGTAACGTGTCTAGTCCTTACTTAGGTGCGGACTGAATTCTATCAGTCAGGTTTACAATGTGACCACCATTCTAGGTAGCTCACCATCACGATGCACATTGATTTGATGATATTAGATAGTTGGAGGTAGTCAGCGACAGGAAGCTTTGGACCTACGTTTCAGGCTAGTTGGCACTCGTCGGCAAGGCATGTCTGCAGCCTTGAAGGTACTCATGTCCCTTCTGAGATTCGAACCTGCGTCACCCAGTGTTAGTTTGAGATCCAGCTCATGCACAATATATATCGATTATGTGATTTATCGAAAAATTATCAATATCCTGATGATACAAAGACAGTTGGTTAAATTTTACTGGTCATGACCAACCTACCACCCGAGTGGTTTTTCCAAATGCATTCTTGATCGACTGGTATGATACTTAGTGTGACTAATTCCTAGACGAATCAGAATGTTTCTTTTCTGAAGACTGAAGAGGTAGTGCTATGAGGTATTGGTAACGTTTGGTTTAAATTCTTAATAAATATTTCTATGCATTCCGATCATGAACAGAATCTTTATAAGCCAAAATGGCACTTTGTTTGTACTATTGTATTCAGCATAGGCAAATTCGAATTTTCGACCATTTTTCTCCTTTTTTCTTCTCCTTTTTGTTTTATTTTATTCATATTCATAGGATGAAGTCAATCAAGTGCTCACTTTGAATGTTTGGATTGAACAAGTAAGTGAAATTTACTTTTTCTCGCTTTATCGATTTCCGAATGATTCACAGTGCTTCAAGTTTTGCAGTTCCAATAGAGATGATGATATTCAAAGGTTGAAGGCGAATGGTAGGAAGCCTTAGACCCAGGTTTAGTGCTTGTTGAAACTCACCAGTCTCAATGGTGGTTCTCCAGTCTTGAAAAGATTCACCTGCCTGATGAGATTCTAATTCCTGTCACCCAGTGAAGCAGTCAGAGACATTACAACTGAGCTATTCACACCCATGATTGACCTCCTGGAGGAATGTAATGGATTGAACACTGGGGAATGTCATGTGTCTAGTCCTTGGTGTTGGCCTAGACTGGATTCTACCAGTCAGCAAACATGCACCGAATTTAGGTCTTGCCGACTACCTCCAAATGTCTGGTAACAACAATTTAGAGCGCACTATGATGGGGGCAAAACCGCAAACTGACTCTGTTTCTATTTACGCGGTAGGTCCACCCGCCTAACTCGCGTAACCTCCTGTCTTTTTCGGGCTTACTATAGGCTTAGGAGTATGTTGTCTGGAAACTGAACCCGTACAGCATGCATGACAGATTAGCATTTCACAGCTGTACAGTAGACACAACGAAGTTTTCATTAAGCCATGAATATGACTGAGATTTCAGTAGGAAGGGTTTTATGCTAAGACAAGCTGTGGCTTAATATCACACCGTCTCTATTACTTACTATTTCAGTGGATAACAGTCTTCGTACTTTCAACACATTAGATAGGTAAACCACGACTTGATTGAGTTTCGTCTACACTTGAGGAAAAATTGCAGGTGAACACTTTTACTACTTATAAGTAGAAAGCAATTTACGCAAAAAATATTGCAGTTTGTTTGTGAGGCTGTTGGATGGCTTCTTCTGAGTTATGTAACTTATTGTAATGACTTAAACTGGCAATAAAACTACGTTGTGATTTGATTCTCCAGCTCTACACACTCTGACTTAGTAGAATCTAGCAGAATAAATCACGACAGAACTACTCAAAACTGACAGACACCTCTACAAACACGACGTTTGAGTTGGTCTGAACTAATAGACATACTTTCAATTCACTAATTGATTAAACGAACAGTAACAATGGGATTAAGTATATTAGGTTAGTTGCGGAATATCTGGTAAAAGAATGAAGTCAGTTGCTGGGGTTGTTAATATACATTGACTGAGATAGCTAGGATAAGTTTAATGCATGCCCGGCCACCATCTTTCTCAACAAGCACTGTTGGCTGATTCAGAATTAAGTTATATTGAGGTAAGGGACTGCTAAGTCAAAATCCGACATCAATCTGCAAAGTCTCTGATAGTTGATGTGAGCCATGTAGCGAGACAAAGACCTCCTATTCGAAGTCCTCCGGATGCTAAGAACCAATGGCTGAAAATAGTACGTCGTGTGACTCAAAATCCTTCTCAGTGACGCAGGTGCATTCACTCCTTTTAGTCGTCCATACCTATAATGTATCATGTTTTTGGTGTTTCTGTTTTTCCTACCTTACATTTACGCTTATTATGATTCTTTGTGTGCTGTCGCGAAATGAAATGTTGCAGTTCTGCGCAAAGCTCCTTCCTGAAACCCAGTCAGTCAGGACTAACTGCTGAGGTTAGAGACCAACAGTCTGAGTGTCTTATGACAAAGCTAGAAGAGAACCCCTATTATGCGCTCAAGATGTAATCAACAGTGTCTTTAAGGACATAAAATTTACAAGGGAAGGGGAAACAGAGAGCTGAATCTCATTTTCGAAAGTCTTAGTTGCACGAGAAATAGCGGAGAAAGTGGAAATATACGCATGCATTAAATCAACCTATACAGACAAAATAGTCAACCTATAGCAGCTACCATTCAGTGGTACAGAAAAGAAGCTGTATGCAGACATTATTCAAAAAAAGCCATAACACATTGCAGTACTGCTATTTTGGGAAGAATTAAAATGGAAATACACGTTATGAACGTGCTTCAGAAAAACGAAGCTTCAAGAACTTCATGAAAAGTTGTCTGCCATTAGTTCAAAAAACCAACAGAAGCAATCTTCTGAAATGGCTATGAAACATCACCATACCTTACATTAGGTGAGCCCTATCACTCACAACCTAGCACGTTGGCTCCACTTTACATTATGTGGACAAAAATCTGAACAGAGAAGGAAGACAAAACCATAATCATTAGTAAAACTGAATGCATGAAACGCAGGTGTCCTCTTATTCTGCACATCCATGAACGTGAACTAGTAATCAGACTGTGTGCAAAAGATTTATTCATATTAATCTACGTAGAAAACCATGAACTATGAAGACGTAAGACTTTTAGGTGGTATAAACATAAGGAACGCCAGAAAACTCTCAGAGGCTTCGTACTCAAATCAATTTGCGTCTAATAGAATAGCACAAAATGTTGGGTCTCTTTAAACACAAAATATATCCTGCCGAATATCATCTTGAATAATTATATATAAATCTTTCAGGGATAATAACGATAATTACTATACAGTAAACATAGAGAGAGAGAGAGAGAGTGAAATGGGAATTCGAAAACAGGCGCCATACCTAATGGCGCGGTTCGCAGCCATGAAACACTGGACTCGACACCAATTACTAATTTATTCTCATTTATCATCATGCTACAGAAATCTAAAGTATTTATAAAAATATGACCTTAGATACGATAGAGAAGACTTGTAGTCACATTTCAATGTCCATTACAAACAAATTCGTATGGTGAGTTAAGTTAGTCAAAGAAAACAAAACAGAAGTCGATTAAAACCTGTTTTCTTTATTAAAATAAGGTCATATTTTGATGTGGTTGTGTTCTCTGAGCTGGATATTTAATTTCCGAAGCTTTCATCACCCTACTAGGTGACATCTTCAGCGCATACACTTCAATTTGAATTGATGTGAGCTTTTAGATTTCTTCACGAGTTTATTATTCATCTCTCCTGGTGACCTTGGAAGTGATTGGTTGTTTTGTGTGTTTTCACACCTTCTAGGTTACTTGTATTGGAACTGATTGTTTCTTTGACTTGAACTTTGTCCGTTTGTGTGTCAGGTTTCTTTCTTATCGGTTGATAAATTTTGTCTATCTCGATGTGTCTATTGATTGATGATTCACTGGAATACCAGTCAGGCTTCTAAAAATTCTCTAGCATTCTTGTTGTTTCCTCTGTCTAATATTTGAACGCTGGTTGTCTCAGTCGAATTGATGTCCGTGGTTGTCTATATGAAGTGAGTGATATGAGGGAGTGGATATCATGTCTTTTGACAGCTAGCTTATGTTTGTGGATACGAAGACGAAGGGGACGTCCACTTTGGCCAACGTAGTGTTTTGCACAGTTGTTACAGTTTGTTTTGTAGATGATGTTGGTTTTATCTTCTTTTGCTGTTGAGTCTTTTGGTTGACATAGAATTGAGTGAAGTGACTTTATTGGTTTGTGTACGACGTCACTTCCTAGAGGTTAGAAGAGTCTTGTAGTGATTCCTGAGATATCCTTTATATATGGTAAGGGGATTTTCTTTGTGTTTTCCTTGGAGGCTTTTGTTTTGATAGGTTGGCTTGGGAGTATATGTTTTTTGATGAAATTCCGTGGATATCCATTCTTTTGGAAGACGTCCACAAGATATCTTTCTTCAATTTTCCTTTAAGTGGGACTACTGCGATGAGTCCTTGGCCTCTTGAATAGTGTTTGTATTGAATTCCTTATGTTTGTTATTAGATTGTTGCTGTGAAAATTTGGTCTGTGTGAGCCGATTTTCTATAAACTTGAGTTTCTAATTCCCCTGTGGTTGTTCGCTTGACTAAGACGTGTTAGTCAACAGACAACTACGGACATCCATTCGACTGAGACAACCAGCGTTCAAATATTAGACAGAGGAAACAACAAGAATGCTAGAGAATTTTTAGAAGCCTGACTGGTATTCCAGTGAATCATCAATCAATAGACACATCGAGATAGACAAAATTTATCAACCGATAAGAAAGAAACCTGACACACAAACGGACAAAGTTCAAGTCAAAGAAACAATCAGTTCCAATACAAGTAACCTAGAAGGTGTGAAAACACACAAAACAACCAATCACTTCCAAGGTCACCAGGAGAGATGAATAATAAACTCGTGAAGAAATCTAAAAGCTCACATCAATTCAAATTGAAGTGTATGCGCTGAAGATGTCACCTAGTAGGGTGATGAAAGCTTCGGAAATTAAATATCCAGCTCAGAGAACACAACCACATCAAAATATGACCTTATTTTAATAAAGAAAACAGGTTTTAATCGACTTCTGTTTTGTTTTCTTTGACTAACTTAACTCACCATACGAATTTGTTTGTAATGGACATTGAATTCTGGCAGAATTGTTTTGGAGCGAAATTGATTTTTAATTAATACCTAACGAAAACCGTATAACACTGATGAGGACAAACAAATAAGGGTTATTATTAACTTGATTGTATATTCCGCGCTATTTCTCATTTTTCTATTTCATAATTACCTTTACTTTACTGTTACTTCATGTTTCATTAAAATTTGTGACTATAAAAAATAAGTTTATAGATTACTCAGCTTAGAAGCATTAAAAATATTTGTAAAAGTAAACTAGAGTTGGTTTTTCTTCAGAGATTTTGTTATGATGACTAGATAAAATGTCACAAGGAGAGTGAATGGAAAGCGAGATTTAACTTTCTATAACTTTCAGAAATATTGTGCTAGCAACATGTGTTAAAATCTAAGTGTTATTTGATGAATCAAAATAAGCTACAGGGTGCTAGGATATTGGGAAGCACTAGATAGAGATGAAGCATTACCACAGTCTATTGGGGATCAAAAGCACTAGCTTTGTCTGTTAATCTAACAGTCATGAGTTTCATCCTGAGGAATCTTATGGGTATGTACAGCTAAAGAGTCTCGAAATAAAACTGAATGGTTATCTAGTGTTGTGTATCTTTCAACGATTCTTCTTTTCTGTTAACTGGTTATGTAACGATAGGCAGCTGGTTGTAAAAGGCCCAAGATTTATTATTCAGTCAAAGATTATCCAAATCATCCACCTCAGTAGCCAATAGCTTAAATTGGTAATTATTGTTTCTAGACACTCTATATTGGCCTCATCTGTGTCTTTTGATTGCTATCAGCTTCGTTAGTGTATCTAAAGCATCGAAAATTTGCATACGCCTACAAGAAAAGTGTATATTTGGGTTAATCAGTCCGTTAGGCCTAAATTATAACTCTAAACAGCCTGTTTTGAACCTATTTCGTGATGGGCTGCACTTCATATACATACTAGTGTGACATCAAAACGTCCATCGTTTACACCATTTACAGAAATGTATTCATGTCCTATTGATTTCACTAGATTTATGCTTTTTTCTGTTTTCACCTCATGCAGGAATGGATTGATGAAAGACTTACATGGGATCCACTGGAATATAATAACTTGTCAAGAATACGAATCCCGTGTCAGAAGTTATGGTTACCAGATATTGTGTTGTATAATAGGTAAGTTATTGCGATACACATATACATATTTATGTAAAGGAATGTGAAATTTTTGGGACTCAAAACCTAGCAGTGTTTGTGTTATGCTTTCAAGGTGTCATCTCACTCAAAGATAGACACCTAACTGTTGACTCTCGTGCTTATGTGGCTTTTTATTCGTTGTCATCTTAGTGCTAGTTAGTTGTTTACTTCATCAGTCATCATCAAACGTACTCATCAATCACGCGTATATATTTTTAATCTAAAATCTTCTGAATTAGCCCCGAGAACCAACTGGTTAGTTGTTGATAAGCTCACTTAAGACAGCTTTAGCCTAGAAGACTTTTCTTATCTCTATGGAGTAATAATTTAGGCTTAAACAAAAATATAGAGTTGGAAAATGACATTCAACCGTAATTATCGATCGGGGGTTTTACTGACTAGATGTGTAATTATCGAATACGGCGATTGGTTATCCATTCAGATTAGGCCATAAAAAGACAAATTAACAAGTTCAAATACATAGAAGCTAACTGACTGATTAAGTTAAAACAGAAAACTTTGCTCAGAAGTGGAGTAATTCAAGTAGCCACACTCCTCCATGTAGCACACAAACGCAAACAAAAGAGAAAAAAGGATCCAAGAATATTATAAATAGACAGAAATGTTGCTGGCTCAGTGGTAGCATACTGATCAATCACGCTGGTGGTTCGGGGTTTGACCTCCGGCCTTAACTCACTTAGCCGGTAATAAGCCCGTTAAGGAGGGATGGTCGGCAGTGACGCTAGCAACCCCATCCTGTAAAAACACCACTGCTACTGAAACTTCGAAGCACTAGCTTGAAGCCATTATGTTCCACTAGGAACAAAAATGAATAAAAAAAATAATAAAGAGGAATGTGAGGGAGTAAGAATAGCAACGTGAAAAAAGCATGACGGTTTCGTGGGTGAATGCATCCGCGCCAGTGACAATGATTATTAGCCAAACCACCAACAGTCCCCAGACTTTATTTCTTAGAATTCCAATAAAGCAGTCTATATGTTTCCATGTGTCTCGAACCAACATAATCAGAGGCTTCATGGACCTTATTCCAGTTCTGGTTTGATCACCTCAAATTCTTTTCCAACCTAATCCAATGCCGCCTAACATTGTATGACTAGAAAGGCAGTGGCCTGGCATATGCAGCATGTATTCTAGTCATCTCAGTCAACGTGGCCTCATATTCTCATCGGTTGACCTTCTATTCCTACCTAACATTCTTCAACTAACCTCAGTAATGCTCACCATATTATAATACATTACATGAGAGAGGGGATGCAAACATTTATTATCAAATAAATCTAGTCTTCTCATATCCTAGAACTACCAGTGAACATGTCTCACAATCACAACGGAGGACAAAGCCGAATGCTGCTCAGTGGATGGCTGTATATCACTTCTGAGCCGAAAATTCATGAATAATACCCATCTGAACATTAATGAAAAATAAAAAAAACGTAGTTCAGCGTAGCATCTCTTTTCGGCGAATTCATTCACTTAACTGTATTATGTATAATTAATCTTTTTTATCTATGTGTACATGGAAATTAGTTACGGTTATTGTTAGTTTGATTAAAATATTTCAAAAAGTGTGATGAATGATCAAACTGTAACTAGGGCAACGGGGTGAAGATTAGTAAGAGGGTAGTAGCGATAAGCTGTCACAAGTATAGTTGTCAAATGCACAAGAAAACTTCAAAAAGTGTTACTGGGTGAATAAAGTAATGAGTGAGTTGTGATCAGGATGCACATAGAAACGAAAACAAATTTGTAATTTTGTAAGATTTAAAACAAATAGTTCCTTTTATAAATTTGAAGAGCGTTAAAAGAAGACGGAGATTATCTGAAAAATGTGATGTAATGTATTCGCGCTATACATTTCGAACAATCTGAACACACATTTACTTGTTATACACAAAGAAAACGAAATATTGATGGGTACCCTTATTGAAAACGGATATCCTTTCAAATGTTTAAACAGGTGTAGAAGTCAGTTAGTCTCTAAACCTACAATCCGTACCGCCCCTAGGAAAAAAGGCCTTCATCAAGTTACCATATAACGGGGAAATAAACAGTAAGATTTTGAGACAAAGGTTGAATTCGATCACCCGTAGAATCTACTATGCAGTTCAGCTTGTAATTGTCGAAAAAGCTAAAAATATGCTTCACTGCATACCTCAAAAGTGCACACAATTTACCAATTTTCGTGTGTGTGTGTGTGGACACACATACATAGGGGGGAGTAATCGCTCTTTGCAGGTGTAGGTGAGAGAGCATATCACAAAATGGCTAGAAAAACAAATACATCACATTTTTCAGATAATCTCCGTCTTCTTATAACGCTATCCAAATTTTGTAAGAGTTCTAAAGAAATACAAAAGTTACAGGGAGTCAGAAAAACAAGTAAACAAAGTTCTAGCCAGTAGAAATCAACACGGTTGTTACTAGGATAGTAGAAATGGTTGGACGGTTTTCCTATGTATACATAACTCTGGTTTCTTCAAATGAATGGTCAAGGCTTCAAAAATACAAAGGAGACGACAGCGTATCGCCTTAGACAGGTTATTTTTCACTTTGCAGATTATTTTGAAGGAGATGTTTGTTGAGATGGAATGACCAGTGTTGACAACGTATTTGATTATTTCACTGCCTTTCTGAAGCCATGTGGAATGGCGTTCTTGAACCCTTCTAGACAGGCGACGCATCGAACGATCAGTATACCTGGTCCCACAGGAACAGGTGAACTGATATATGCACACAGAAGTGGTCTGACGAGGAATCTTGTCCTTTAGGCTGGAGAACACTACTCTTAACGAAGAATTTTATTCTCTAATATGCAGCTTAGCACCTATGACTTTAACTACTTTTTATGTACCCACATACAAAAATAATTATATATAATTGTGATTGTACAGACAAGTGAATGAATTCAATGAAAAGAGACTTTTCGGTGAACTACGTGTTTTGAGACATAAATGATGTGATCTGCCAAATGTTACACGAGTTTTTAGTCTCCCTGCTGGGATTTCGTCATCAGTCAGCCCAGTAGTGTGGGTACAACTTCATGAATAAGTAAAGTGGTAAACATGCTCCATCAATTCACCTCTTATTTTTCAGCTAGCTGCATTTGAGTTATGCAACACCATCTTTCAGCTGACTGGAGTGAATGACAAGCTGGACAAACATACAAGCTTTCCGCTTACTTTGTTCCAAAGACTATGTATTTAGCCAGCATCTTCACCTAAAAGGACACTATCATCCACTTTGGATAAGTTTATCTAGAATGTCAAACAGTGATGCAGTATTTAAAAAAATTGATGATTTTATTGGATGATGGTTGGAGGCAATCGATAGGAAACCTAAGACTTAGGTTTCTTGCTCGCTGGCACCGTGATGGCGATCCACCTAGCATGGTGACCATACTGCAAACTTAAACGATAAAATTCAGCCTGCACTAAACACAGGACTGGACACATGACACTAGTTAGTGTTTAGTCAAAATGGATGACGTTTGGAGCATAAATTATTACTCATAGTCATATCACCTTAGCCACACGGTTTCACAATCTTTCCTGTATCATCCATATATTCCAAGTCAACAAGATTATTTCCCGGCAACCTGTCAATTTTCCAGTTGCTGAAATCAGTTATGATTAGTTCCATTAGTGCATTAATGATAAATTTAAACAAAAATTGGGCCAGTGGACATCCCTAATGGACACTACTGGTTGTCATCGCTTCACACAGCCGCTTGAGTCCGAGTAGATGACCTTGATTAGTGCGATATACTTTCTCTGTCTTAGCATCTCCAAGTATTCAGATGAAGAAATACGGTAAGTGTATGACGCCGGTAAGCATGTCCATATTTCAGAATCTGTCGAAGGCTAAATATATGACCGATACACTGTCTTTCTGGCCTCTACCTTGCTTGGTTTATCCAGGTTTGTTTCTCCTGGGCACCACTAACTCCACGTATGTTTATTTAACCTCGAACTTTAGATACTACATTAACCAACCTTATTCTCATGTGATTATTACAGGAGGACATGTCTTCCTTATTTTACAGACGACTGAAGGATAAATCATCAACTAGCCGGTTTACGGTATATTCGTTTGGCTTGGTGTGTTTCTCGTTACTAAGAAATTGAATTTCCATCTTCCTTAGTCCTTTAAGTAGAGTTCTTACATGCCATGCTTTTAAGCAACCTTATTATTGTTACTGATCGTCTCTTGAGTTTCAAATGGAAAATATATCTTCAGCATTTCAACCGGCTCTTTACGGTCCTCTTTAACTGGCTTCACGATTATCAAAAAGCTTTCATTCCGTCTACACATGATCTCCCATATATCAAACTCAAAATCCCAATGCATTGCTTCCCGTCCGGGCTCCACTCGATGGCATGCGTGGGATGTGGCATCAATTGAATGTCTCTTCAGATAATCTACAAGCCATCTTGATTTTCTTCTGAATATCTGTCAGTTCAGAGATAAGTTGTTGACTGATTCGTTACCAGAGTTCTTCGATGCTTATCTTTTCCAGTCACACATCCAATCTGAGACATCAATCGGAGGTATCTGTTGAAAAAAGTCTTCAGTAGCCTGTTGGAAATGCTTTTAATGACCTACAAAGTCTAAGCACCATATAGAAAAAGATCAGGACAGAATCTGGCCTCTGTCGCAGAGGATTAGAATTCCAGCAAAGAGTAATTTGATTTGGTGACAGCACACAAGAATACAGTAATATTTATTGATGACATTTAAAGCATAATTTATTGCTCTTAATCATATAAATGACAATAATATTGTTTATTCCAAAAACAGTACCTATAGTACAGAATGGAATTCTCAGCATTTGTCACAATATTGCATCTAATTTATTCAAAATACCATAAATAAAATTAACCACAAGAATTTTTCCACATTTACGGTAGGAATATAGTCAAAAATATTCTCAGTACAAAATGAGAATAATAACTCTAAGA